ATTCAGAACTCTTGTTGTTAAAGAAAACCCGTTTGAAAAAATAAGGAGAAAATAGGTACTAAAAAGTAACCCTGAACTTGGCTATTCTGTTGTAACGGGGAGTGATGGGAGAACAGTCACTGAATTTGTGAATATTTGCGATTGTGATTGTTTTGTGTGCCTTCATGTGTGTGAGAGAACATTTCCTATTTTGGATAAATTCTGACTTTTGCCTGAGAAAGTAGGCTTCCTATCTGAGGCTATGAACTCTTTCTTAAGAGCTATTAATGTTGTCCTCTGTTTTTCAGAGTTGACACAGAATTTAATAATGTAGCTTCTTCTGCCAAGACTTTTATTAATTGTTTTCCACTACAAGTCGATGAACCATGACAGGGTTCTTGTCCTCGTTTTGCAGTTGAGAAAATAGGGGCGGAGGGTTAAGCAACTCGCCTAAGACCACACATCAAAGCAGGTGCAGAGTTGGCAGGAGAAATCATTTTCCTGGAATCTTGGCTCAGTGCTTTCTTTAAAAAGAATTATGAAAGTTTCAAACAAACAAAAGTGAATAGAACATAAGGTAACAAACTCTCAGGAACCCATCCCTCAGCCTCAGAAATTTTGTAAGAAAGAAATATTTCCAGACAGAGGGAAGCCCCCATTGTACCCTTTCCAGTTCCTACCCCTAACCTCCTCTCTTCTGAGGAAATCAATATCTTGAATTTGGTGTTTCACATTCTCATACAAGTTTTTACTCCAAACGTATGTATCTATGAAAAACGTGGTACAGTTTTGCACATTTAGCTTTATATTATTGCTGTTATCTTGTATGAATCCTCTTATAATTTGCATTTTTTTTGCTTAGCGTAGTTTTAGTATATATCCATGTTAATACATATAGCATTTGTTTATTCATCTTGCCTATTGTGTGAGTACATTGCATGAATATGTAACAGTTTATCTGTTCTCTTTATGAGATTTAGATTTTTTGGCTGTTGTCTAATATTATAATCAGTAACACAATGAACATTCTCACACCTTTCACCTTCTGATTGCTTTGTTGAACACCATTTGAAAACAAAAGACTACTTCTGTGGAGATAGGCATAGAGATTCAATTGCCCTGTCTAAATTTGGTGTTAGAGTAATGTGAAGTGAGTAGCAAAAGCAAGACTTACTGACTATATTTATGTTTCAGGAGACTCATTCTAAATCTACAACCAATCCATGTCGCACTTATGCCATCATTTTCAGTTGTTATATCAGAATCTATCATTATATCTTGAAATCTCATCTATTAGTCCAAAAAGTAGTCCTGACCGATGATACTTCTTTCTGGAACCAAATCTGAATTTCTGTGACCTGCAGGATTTTTGTCAGGTTGAAAAAAAATTGGCCACACCCAAAGTATTGCATTGATAGGAGTGTGCTCTGAATAAAGCAAATTTTATCATTACAGATATAGAAGTATAGTAGTGGTCAGAAAATTTAAACAGATCAAAATGATTTCCTTATAAAAAGCATGCCACGGGGATAGGGGGTGAAATTACTATGGGACATCATGTCTGTCTATCCTAAAGCACTATCTTTATAGGATAGAAAAGGGCAAAGGATGGCCATTTGCTCATTATACTTAGGAACCTTATAGTCTGTTTCAAATGGCTGATTAAAAAAATCTCAGTGTCAACAATGAAACTAAATTATTTTTAAAAATCATGATGCTTTCTTCTGGAGTCTCAGAATTCTGAAGAAGCTGGTCCATTGTGTTAATAGTGGAGCTGCTTTTTAGTACTACTAGCTAATTGTGAAGACACTAACACAGATTTGGAAGAAATTACTGGCATAGGAGTTGGTAGACTGTTTTTGACTTGACTTTTCCTCTAACTGTGAAACTTGTGAAAAAGTCACCTAAGGTTGCCCTAAATCAGTGCTTTGCAAATTTTTTGTGTTGACCCTATGGGTTGTTAAATCACTTTGGTGGGTTGAGACCAACATTCAAAAAAAATAACATGGAATAGAGCAGAATATATTCAGGGTACATTATATTCACTAAAGGTAAGTATTATTTCGTACATCTTTTGCTAGAGATGGATGTGTGTGTTTGTGTGTGTGTGTATGACTGCTGTGGAGCATTATGTAAAGTAAAATTCTTATTCTGTATTTCTATCAAAAACATTGAAAACCATTTATACCAGGTGACTTCAGAAAGTATCTCGGGGACTTCTCAGATGTGGTTATGTTCCTATTTAAAATTCACCAGGTGCTCCCTTTTTTAGGATGAAGCCAAGATTTCTCGGTATGGCAAAACAGGCCCTTCACAATTCTTGTTTCTGGGTCCGTGCACTCTAAGAGTATAGTGAACTACAAACTTTCTGTGTCTACAGTAGTGCCTTATGTCTTCATGACTTTGGTGACATTTTCCCCTCAGTCTTAAATGCTCTCGGGAGCCACAAAGCATTACCTTTGCTAGAAGCCCTTCCACACACAATTAGTCTTCATAGAATTGACCACTCCTTATCTTCAGCCCCTATTATTTTCTTTACTGACATGTCATAGTCCACAGTACACTTTACTGCAGTTCATAATGTTTTAAAAATCTATCCCACCCTACTAGAATGTGGAGTTTTTGTGGTCATGTCTTTATATCATAAGAATTTTGGTTCTTTCCTTTTCTAATGTGTATATTCTGTTCTCTCTTGCTCTTAAAATAACTTTAGTATTGAAAGACAATACATGCTCATTGTAAATGTCTCAAATGACATAAAAAGGCAGTTGAAAAATCACCTAAATCCTACAACCTAAAGATGACTACTGTTAATATCTAAAGCGATGTCTTACTCTGCCTACATACACATATAAAGAAAGGTAAACATGCATATGCAAGCACATATTCAGAGTGTTAAATGAAGACAGTCATGCACCACATAGTGACATTTCAGTCAATGACAGACTGCATATATGACTGTACTCCCATAAGATTAGTACCGTTTAGCCTAGGTGTGTAGTGGGCTATACCATCTAGGTGTGTCTAAGTACACTCTATGATGTTTGCACAATGGCGAAATCGCCTGATGATGCATTTCTCAGAACGTGCCCTTGTCCTTCAGTGACACATAAATATAAATTCATTCATTAATCTACTGTCCTTTCCACAATGTGAAGAACACTTTCTACGTCCATGATATACCTGTACATAATTTTAAATGGCTGCTTATAATTCTAATTTATGGATTACTTTGGGTTATGTTTTAGTTGCCATTTATCAACATCAAGAGTAGTGATGGTAGACCTGACTTCTTATTGTTCATATGATATACATAGCAATTAAAAAGCACCATTATTGTCCTTACTTTCTTTGGTTAGTTGTAGAGTGTTGAGCTGGTTTTGTAAATCTCTTCAAGACATTCTACATTATGCCTCCTTCCCTTTCTCCTTGGGCTATGTCCTGTTAAAATCTCTGTATAGCATAGAGTCTCCTACTTAGCAATGTTATGTCTTTAGTCAAACCTTCTCTTTCTTATGAAAATTACCTATAGTTACATACTAAGGGTTTCACTTTTGACAGGTCTTCCATTTAGGAATGAATACAGTAGAATCATGCATATATATTATGTGAATATTTTGAATTTCACTTTCCTAGCACAGGATATACATTTGGATTGCATCTGACCTTCCTCTATTCTATGATCATGAAATTCAAGATGATGTATGATTATTTTCAATAGACATTTCCATTTTACCAACCACTTCCATTCTTTGATAGATATAGATTGCTAGTATAGTTCGTTAGGATACTTCCTCTACTCTCTGGAGCTAAAGTGAAGAACTTCTCAGATGTATTATTCTAATAAAATGAAATATCTGGTACAATTTTGGAAAGTACACAGCCTTATTATTATTAAAGTTTATTTGTGTCATTTTTGTGATCTGATTCAGGATTGTATCACCTATTTCTTTGATGTAACTGGATAGCCTAGGTATAGTCTATGTTGTTCTTATTTATTTTCTCCTGTTTTGGGTCTCAAGTGCAACTCTTAGAAATTCTTCATCCTTCAGTTTGTGGATTCAACAGTAGAGTGTATTTTCGTACTGTACAGTATTAACCCAACAACTCTCTTAGAAAGCCTTTTTTTTCCATCTCTATATTCTAATCTTGAATCCTGTCTCACCAAGTCTCAGAGAGACATGTGTTATAATGTGCATTGCCTTAGTTTTTAATATAAAATGTATGCCATTTATCACTCATGCTCTACTTATTAGTACATAGAGATCTGAGCAATCAGTCATTTCCTGCTCTCTAGCCAATTATCTCATATAACTAACTGTTGTCTCTCAGGTTGTGTTTCTTATCATGCCATACTTGTGCTTCTTCATAGCAATTCTTCTTGACCAGGATAGGTTTTGCCCTCAGGAAACATTTGGCAATGTTTGGAGACATTTTTGATTGTCACAGGAAGGGTACTACTGGCTACTAAATGGTAAAAATCAAGGATGCTGCTTAACATCCTACAGTGCAGAATAGAGGCGCACTCTCCACGACAAAATGTCATCCAGTCCAAGATGTCAAGAGTGCCAAGGTTGAGGAATCATGCTATACAGAAACTGACTTCATGTGTTTTATTTGAACTTTCAGATTTCTCCCTCCCCTGAGAGACTCAGTTTAATATAGTCTCTCGATTCAGACTAACTGCTCAGTATATCTCATATTTCCTCTCTGTCATGCTTTAGTTGAAGTGAGGCAGCAGCCATCATCATCAGAAATGTTTTCCTTGTTAGTATAGCAGTATTATATGACTAGTTGACATTACCACAGTTACACAGAATGCAGAATGTGGGAAACTGAGGCATATTTCTAAGTAAAGAATAAAACAGGAGGGATTAATAAGTATGATTATCCTCAGATACTCTGCTCCAAATGGCATTTGTTGTTACAGAAATTGCATTTGCACATATATTGAGGAAAAAACCATGGGAAGCCTAATCCTAACACTGTTTCTTTTTTTTCTCCTTTCTTTTTTTTTTCAGACATTTCACATTTTCAAGAACAAAATGATTTAAAAGGATTACTAGAAAATCTCCATCAAAATATCCAAGCCAAAAAAAGAAAGAATGTAGAAATCATGTGGCTGGCTGCAACAGTAAGCATTCTCCTGTCAAATCTTATTCACTGTCACCATGAGGACCAGCAAGCATTATTTGGTATCTACTATGTAGTGTGCAACCTCTGCACTTTGGGTTAACAGATGTCATCCTCCATTATCCGGGGGATTAGGCATTTTCAGCGTTGTTGGTAGTTCTAACAATAGACTAGAACGCCAACTGGAAGAAAATGCACTCAGTGAGAAAGAATCTTACTCATTGGCTTTCTTGTAAATCATGGATGTATTTGACACTTTGAGGTTAAAACAAAATGTCTATGATTTTCTTGATACTGCGTGTTACAATGCCAATCACCCATATCTATCAGGGTTTTGAATTGCTGCGTTAGTGATAGATAGTTTCAACAGAATGTGGTTAGATTTCTGACTCACAGCCTTAGTAAGGTTCCTGGACATATTGTTCAATTAATGAGCTTGTAAATGTGTTTGTTAATTTAGATATTGGCATAGAACTTTTTACTGATGGGTTGCTCTTGGGTAATGAGCTATATTTGGAGGTTCTTTCTCATTTACTGGCACCCTCAGGGTGGAAGATCTGCCTGCTTTCCCACCCCAGGTTTCTACAATGAAAGGGAGAGAATCGTGCCTGTGTTTTTTAAGTTCTTATCTGGCAACCATTCAGGCATAGCTCACATGAACTTACAAATTTTTTTAAACATCTAGACCCTAAGGAAAGGATCTTTTCATCAGGAAAGGCACACGTTGGAGATCTCTATGATGAATGCCACATTTGTAGTTACTTCTCAGTGTTGCTCATGTAATTTGGAGTTCAAGTTAATGGATCTTCTAGTATATTCTATTCAATCTCTATCAGTAGTGTTTAAAAAGGAGCCTTTCTCCTATTGCCAGTGCTTTAATTATAATGCAGTATTACTTCCTCTCTTCTGGGAAAAAGAAATGGATAATTTACCATGAGTCTATATAAAATAATTTACCAAGAGCAGGGTAGAGGAAAGCTGCTTTAGGTTCCCTTCATGCCCTCTTGGAGCCCCAGGGAAGAACATCAAAGGTAACAATGTGAAACGTTGCTTTCAGGCAGCTCATTTACACAGGTCCCACTTAGCACCATACTGCATTACATGAAGGTTGTTTTTAATAGTTCTTTCCCCAGTGCGGCTGCTCTTTATATCTTCAAAGACTACTATAGTTATTAATTCTCACAAAATTTTCACAAAGGTAGGTCATATGTTATTTTTGCTATTTTGCTAATAATGTGATAGCACAACAGTAGTTTGATCATTTACCAAGGCTATCTGACAATGCAGGAACACATACATATGTCATTACATACATATCATTCAGTTACGCAAATAGATAAATGAAAAATGCACATGTGAAAACTACAAACATATTTTCTCTTAGTATATGTAATTTTACCGTTTGAATATATAAAACAGTTTTCCCATTAATCCCATACATTTCTGAAATATTTTTTTGAAATGTGTGTGCAGACCAAATATGGCTTATTCACAACTTACCTGTGAATGGATGATTGCCTGCCTTGATGAATACACAGCACCCATAGTGTGCAAATTTGACATTCTGTAGGAACATTGACTTTATTATTAATAGAGTTTCTGTAGACTGACAACTCAGTTTCAATATCCTCTTTGCAAACCGAGGACCATGATAATATTCTTAAAATGAAGAAATATAGAAAAATCCCCTTTGACATTTTTCAAAAAGCTTTTATTTCTGTCTCTATTTCATTTTCCTCTCTTCTCTAAATCTATTAATGAAATATTGCTTTTGTTAATGTTTTGCATTTTAATTGAAAAATGTAAAGCTATTTGCTTTTATCTTGATTGAATTTAAAAAAAATAAAAATGAGAATTTAAAGAAATCAAATGTCAATCGACTGTGTTAAGTTTATATAGTTCAAAACAATTGTAGAAATACAGAAATCAAGACTCCACCTGTCTACTCTGATACAGTTGCCCCCGCCTTCTCTTGATTTTAAATTTAGAACTCTAAATATCCTTGGTAGGATAGTTGCACATAATAGTGACAATGCATTTTAAAGAATATTCGTTCTTTTTAAAAACCATATCTCATGGGGCTGGCCCCGTGGCCGAGCGGTTGAGTTTGCGTGCTCCGCTGCAGGCGGCCCAGTGTTTCGTTGGTTCGAATCCTGGGCGCAGACATGACACTGCTCATCAAGCCACGCTGGGGCAGCGTCCCACATGCCACAACTGGAAGGACCCACAACGAAGAATATACAGCTATGTACCAGTGGGCTTTGGGGAGAAAAAGGAAAAAATAAAATCTTTAAAAAAAAAAAAACCATATCTCATAAGTGGCTATTGAAGTCTATATTTTATTGCTATGAATATAGCCAAGCCTGTGTTATTTTATATTAAAAATTTTTAAATACGATTTATTTGAAAGGATTAGAATTTTCTAGGTAAATAAAGATTATATGGTGAAATCATGCTCTCACATTTTTCTAGTCACTTATATTGGAAATAGTGAGAAAGTACCAAAGGTCTAATAAGGACTTGCAAGTCCTAGTTTAATTATAAGAATCACAATTAAAATGCGGTAAAAATCCTTGACAAACTGTTTCATTATATCCTTTCCTCAAAACAGATAACTATTAAGGCCCCCTTGATGGCAGATAATAAAGCAGCCCTATGTTATATCACATTAGATTTATTTCAAATACATGTTGATGCTACAGTTGGTTATTAGTATCTTGGGTCAGAACCCTACTATGGGATAGGGAAGAGAAAGGTGATTCAGTGTTAAGCATAAAGCAATGAGACAGAGATTATTGCTGCTCACAGAGTCTTCTCCTGACTTTCACCCAAATAACAAAAAGAAAGAATTGCAGAGAGAAACAGACTGGGACAGAAGTCAAATACTTGCTCCTTGGAGTTAGGTAGACATATTAGCATCCTGGCTCTGCTCTGTTGTGTGCGACTTACTTAATCCATCTACACCTCAATTTCCTCACCTGTAAAATAAGAGTAATCATACCTTTCTCCAGGGTTATGTGAAGTTAATTAAAAGAGCAAAATTTACATGAAATTTATTGGTATTGTACCTGGTGCACAGTAGATGTGCAATTAACAATGGGCATTTTCAGTGTCCTTATTCTTGTTAGTCGTATTGATGAGAGGTTCCCTATCTGATGCACTGGCACCAGGTGGATGTTTGAAATCTCATAACATAAAACCGAGACTAGAAAAGGTTTCTTAAATGTAAAGTAAGAAGATACTATCTATTTAGCATTCAGATCCATGTCTGATCCGGGAATATAGATCTTTTTCCCCTTCACAGTTAAGGTGTCACTCCTGAGCTGTCGTTATCACCATCACCCACTGCAGCTCAGTCCCCCTCTCGGGGAGCATTGCTGCCTCTGCTGGATATTTGCCATCTCATACGGCTTCAAAGATTGAAAGATTTAAAATTTACCCACACCCCACACCTCATGTACAAAGAACTAAATAAATGAAATCTATTCCACTAGCTTTTGAGATGAAATGGTAATGTTTTTACGTTCCATAGGGCAGATTGAACCAATTGACTATCATAAATTAACATAAATTTGGTTTGTTTAGACAGGAAGCCTTTAGAGGAGTCTGACACTTTAATCTACAAATGAACAATAAACTGTTCATATGTCTGTGTTACAGATTTGTCGCAAACTAAATGGTATCCGTTTCACCTGTTGTAAAAGTGCCAAAGACAGGACGTCGATGTCAGTGACGCTTGAACAGTGCTCAATCTTGAGGGACGAGCACCAGTTGCACAAGGACTTCTTTATCCGAGCACTGGATTGCATGAGAAGGTATCCCGCGTGTCTTCAACTTTCTTTCTTTTAAGGTCATTTTAAGATTTTTTTTTTTTTGTCCAAATGCGTATTTTACTGGAGGACTAAACATTTAGTAACTTCATTGCATTTCCATGGCTTATAGCTCATGACATGAAAGATGGAATAATTTTAAGTATTCTCCCTACTCATTTTAGGCAATAAAAAAAAATATGGCCGGCTTTTGATTATATGCATGGAGGATATATTTTAGTAGGTCATTTAGACCCAAGTCAAAGAGCTCTGGTCATTTCATATGTAAACTTGAAGACCAGAGTTCCTTTACATATAAGTAGCTATGAGTATGCCCCAAATAAAACTAAGTCGTCATCCAAATAAAGCCTTTCTACGTTGGAACTAATAGGTGATCTTCCCGTGACTTGCAGTGTCTCCGAGTCAGTAACCTCCTTCCTTAAATTATTTTCACATCACTCGTTGTAAAGATGGGATGACACTGATACTTTAAAATAGAGAATATCGTTACTCTGCCGACATTTAAAATGCTGTGCCTGAAGTCATGTGTCTTGATTCATTTCCACAGTAATTAAGTCTAAGGTCTAAGCCGTAATGGGAAGGAAAAAGTGCCTCATTCACAATGTCTGTCAGCAAGGACACACGTTAATTAAAAAGTTAAGCAAAATTGTCTCTTTGCTACAAAGACCAACTCAGAAGCACACCAGGAAGCACAAGACAGGCTCCCTGTTCCTAGAAGGGAATGTCACGTGATGCTCTAGAGAGGGCTGTTTCTCATCTGGCATGTCATTAGCTTCCACTTTTCTTTTAACTGCCGCAGTCTCTCAGTGGCGACACTGATGCTTGCCTGCCCTTGCCCTGTGCCTATATGTTTTTGCCACTAATGAGAGGTTTCTGAAGTCCTCTATTTTACCCCATTTCATGTCTCTTGGCATTTTCACTGTTCGGTGGGGTTCTATCATGATTTTTTGATAAATGCATGAGAATGTCTTAGAGGTCTGACATGAACATCTCAGCCATATAAAACATGTTTGGTTGATATAAAAAACTTCTTTCAAAAATAACCTCTCAGCACTAACAGGAAAAATTCATCATCTGAGTATGAAATCTTCAAATGTGCATAAAAAGAATACAGATGTCACTCTGGCTAGAGCAAAGGTGCTGAGTGAGGAGAGCAGAAACACATGATATTATAAGCCAGAAACACCAGAAGACTAAAGTGATTCGACCAACTTAAATTATCTAGAAGGTGAAATTGCTACATGTTTATTTAAGGTAGAGGTGAGAGAAGACCTTTAAATTAGAAAGATAGTTCTTTCAAACTGGTAAATAAAGAGTGTTTCTGTCATGCACATGTTAAACTGTAAAACTACATATTTTGATATTCCATAAAGGTTGTGCAGAATTGACATTATATGTGCAACATATTTGCTCATGACTTAAAATTTAAGGGGGTTCATTTCTGGTAATTTTTTTTTTTGGTAAATTTTAAATCTGTCAAATTTATTCTTTGGTTTTCTGTATGTGTGAGGGCTGCGTGAGAGTGTAAATGTTTGTGTGTGTGTGTGTGTGTGTGTGTGTGTGTGTACGTACACACATTTAAGGGAAATAAGATGTGTTCTTTTCTTTAATAACTGCCATCATTTCCCTTGTCAGGTATTCTGTCTTACAACACAAGCCCATAGGTTTGATGAGTAGATGAGAGCATGGGGCTTGGGAGCCAGCTGACCTGAGTTTGAATCCAAGCTCTAAGCCACTTGCCACAAACAAGTTAATCTCTTACTGCCTGTTAGTACCTTAGGCAAGTTAGTCAACCTCTTGATGCCTCCATTTCCTCATCTGTAAAAGAGATGTGATAATAAGAGTAGCCCTTCTTAGGGGTGCCTTGAGGATTGAATGAATTGATATGTGTGAGGTGCTTAGAACAATGTTTGACACACAGTAATCACTATACAGTAGTCCCCCCTTATCTGCAGCTTCCCTTTTCGTGGTTTCAGTTACCTAAGTTTGAAAATATTAAATGAAAAATTCCCAAAATAAACAATTCACAAGGTTTAAATTGCGAGCCGTTCTGAGTTGTGTGATGAAATCTCATGCTCTCCTCCTCCTGTCCCCTGACATGAATCATCCCTTTGTCCAGTGGATCCATACTTTTACACGGTATGCCTTCTGACCTTTAGTTGCTTGGTAGCCCCCTCTCAGTTATCAAATCGACTATCGTGGTTTCACAGTGCTTGTGTTCAAGTAACCCTTATTTTACTTAATAACAGCCCCAAAGTGCAGGAGTAGTCATATTAGCAATTTGGATATTCCAAAGAGAAGCCATAAAGTGCTTCCTTTAAGTGAAAAGATGAAAGTTCTTGACTTAAGGAAAGAAAAAACCTCACATGCTGAGGTTGCTAAGATCTACAGAAACTTTTATTACAGCATATTGCTATAGTTCTATTTTATTATTAGTTGTTAATCTCTTACTGTGCCTAATTTACAAGTTAAACTTTATCACAGGTGTGTATATGTAGGAAGAAACATACTACATATAGGGTTCAGTACTATCCTTATTTCAGGCATCCACTGGGGTCTTTTTTTTTTTCAATTGTTTCAGATCCTGGACCCATGAGCCTAGGCTGCACCGTTTTTGTTTTTTTTTTTTCCCTTCTTCTTCTTTTCCCCAAAGCCCTCCAGTACCTAGTTGTATATTCCAGTTGTAGGTCCTTCTGGTTGTGGCATGTGGGACACTGCCTCAGCATGGCTTGATGAGCAGTGGCATGTCTGCGCCCAGGATCTGAACCGGAGAAACCCTGGGTTGCCAAAGCAGAGCATGTGAACTTAACCACTCTGCCACAAGGCTGGCCCCTCCACTGGGGTCTTGAAACTCATCCCCTGTGGATAATCTGGCACTACTGTATAATATTCGTTAAATAAATAAAAAATAACCATCAAGGGTCATGATGTTAACATTCTGATCTTCCAGGTGCAATAAAATCTAGCTAATTTCTCCCTTTGTAGTCTTTTTTTTTTTTTTTTTTTTTAATTTTGATCAGTGACAGTTTGGGCCAACTTGCAGCTTTTTTGTTTTAAATATCGTCTTTTTTTTTTTTTAAAGATTGGCCCTGAGCTAGCATCTGTGCCAATCTTTTATTTTTCTTCTTCTCCCTAAAGACCCCTAGTACATAGTTTTATATGCTAGTTGTAGGTCCTTCTAGTTCTGCTATATGGGATGCCACCCCAGCATGGCTTGATGAGTGATGTGTAGGTCTATGTCCGGGATCCAAACCAGTGAAACCCAGGCTGCCAAAGCAGAGTGTGTGAACTTCACCACTTGGCCACGGGGCAGGTCCCTCAAGCCTTGCAATCTTTATGAATATATTATGACATAAGGTTTGAATCCAATACCATATAGTAAAATAAAGTCTGCTGCCAACTCTTGTAAAGAAGATTTCAAATGCAATGTTTTTCCCATTTAAGAAAATAAGCTCTTTAAATACCACTTTTAAAATGCACATGTGTTTACAAATGCTATCTTAATTATGGATAGATGGCATTCACTAAAGTAAGACTGGATAGTTTTCTTAGAAATATTTTTTGATGTTAATGTGTATTATTGTATGCTTTTACAAGTAGTCATAAGATTTGAGATCAAGGAGCCACCTTAGAAATTTAGTCAACTCTGCTTCACCTTAACAATAGGGAAACTGAGCTCTAAAGAGCGTTCTGGCAAAAACTATTCAGATAGAAAGTATTAGAGCCAGCACTGGAACATAGATGCCCTCGTTATATGTTAATGTTATTTTCTTTGTACAGAATGAAACAAAATGCTATCACTTAAGATAATTTGGTAATGTATTTTGGTACCTCAGACCTGTTAGTTAAAATATTGTATGTCATACATGTCATAAACACCATGTGCTTTTAGAAATTTGAGGCTATTTGCAAGAGCAGAACGGTTTGCCCAAATCTTGAGACCTTAAAAAGCAAACTCTAGTTCTAGAATATAAATTATTTACTTTCAGCCTTGTCTGTCATGTTTATCATTGTGTCCAAGCATCCAGCACAGTGTCTGGTCTGGAGTAAAATAAGTACAAATAGTGGTTAAATAATTGCAGAACAGTCCGAAAAGGAATTCATTGTGCTGCCTTCTGTTTTTCAGACCCCTGTAGCAACTTTCTCATCTTTTTTTCAAGTTGTGTTTTCAATTTTGTTCTGAGTGGTAATTTGGTTCTTACTTTTGTGTCAAAGCCTCGTGTCCTAGGGTTGCCCTACCGTCTCTGTAGCTTAATGGTCGGTCAACGATTAGCCAAAGGATGTACTCAAACAAGTCAGTCCAGTAAGGCTTACAACCTCTGCTGGTGTGTCTGTTTGTGAATTGGGGAACATATTCAAAGTTCAGAAATTTCTAAATCTGCCCTGCCTTGTATTTCCACCAGGTCCTGTTAGGTCCTACTGGTCAGCTCAGCATGTGTGGAAATTTATCAGAGCCCTCCGTGGCTCCCCATTTCCAGAATCTCCTGGTTACATTTCTGGCTAATCCACTGCTCTAGGAAGTGGCCCAAGTGGTACTGCAATCTCAGGCTAGCTGTGAGGTGGGCCATCAGGATTCGTTTGCCTCCAAGAACACTAATGTTTCTGACAGTACCTGAGAGGGATTTTCCACTCTCCTCTTCAAATGCAGTCAGACCCCTTGCGCAGCAGCAAAGTTGCTGGTTTCCACCGGCAGCCCCGCCCGCCCTGGTAGAACTGGAGCTGAGAGGGGCAGTGCTGGGAGCAGCGCCAGGCAGGAGGACCACAGACTCCTGCTCTTCTTACCGGCACTCAGCAGTTTTCCACAAAGAAACGCTTCTCAGCTTATTGCTTGACTTTGGTTGATCACCAGGGCACTGAAATGGTTTTTTGACAATATTTTCCAGTGTCATAGTTTTTTGGGGAAGAAGGGGATTTGCAGAGCTCCTCACTCTGCCATCTGAGAAGTCCCACCCTCCAGACAGTGGCTTTAGAATGCACATAAGAAC